ACAAAAAGGGTTATACTCGCTTCAGAATAAAGCTAGAAACTTGATTTTTAGCGCATTTTGATTGTCAGATTTTGAGCTTTCAGATGATAACAATTTTATATTTTTTCACAAAATTTGTTTTTGGATTATTTAAAATCCACTTTTTTTTTCCAAAAGTCATCTTAGAATAAAAATTATAGCGAATAAATTGCAACAAAAAACACTTTTCTATGCCTATTCCAAGGCGAGTTACAGGCGTTTTTGCATTGAAAAGAGACGCAGAGAAACGAGAGAGCGCTCTCTTTTCTCTGCGTCTCTCAAATGTAAAAAGGGCTATAACTCGTTTCAAAATTAAGCTAAAAACTTGATTTTTAGCGCATTTTGATTGTCAAATCATGCGCTTTCAAGTGATATACAATTTGACAGATTTGCAATCCAAAAATACAAAGAAAATTCACAAATGTCCGAAGCATTCATATTTTTTGAAAAAATTCTGTCTGTGTGTCTGTGTTTCCTGTAAGTTTTTAATAAAAATTTTAATTTTCAATTGTTTCCACACCCAAATTTTCCCAGTTTTAAACCCAGCAAAAATAACAAAAACCAGAACAAAATTATCTCGATTTTCTTTTTCTCGAAATCTCCCAGATAATTAATTACCGCAACTTCGCTTTTCTTGTGATTCTTTAGATTTTTTGGAAAGATTATAAACTTATTTCACTTCCCCCCGAATCTTCTTCTTCCTCATTTTCTTTCAAGAAAATGTTATCTCTTTTAAATGGAAAAAAAGAAACTTTCAACTTCGTGTTTTTTTAATTGGGCAATTAAAGTTTTCCGGATCATTAATTATTTCTAAAAAGGAAATGTTCTTAATTTTATGGATGATTTTTCTATGATCTCTTTTTTACCGCTTTTCAATTTCTTCGGAAAAGTTTTTGAAATTACCGTAAAACCCTGTAAATTTTGACCTAAATTATCTTGGTTACGGTAGAAGATATGAAAAATTGTCTAATGATAAAATTTTGCTGATAATGTGATAAATTTTTTTGTTAGTTGATCACTTTTTGACATCTTTCAAACAAAGCGAGATAAGTGAGCTCAAAGTGAATAGTGTGAAGGTAGACAGCCGACAGTGTAGCTCATTCGCCAAGCGGCGGCGTTTTGCCTTTGAGCCAATTTATCTCGGTTCTTGTGAAAGATATCAAAAAGTAGTTAACTGATAAAATGTTTATCATAATATCAGCAACATTTTATCAGTTGACCACTTTTCGATATCTTGTATAGGAAATGACATATATGGGCCCAAAGTTGGAGGTCGCGAAAGAGGGTTACGGTGGTTTTTTTTGGGTTTTAGACCATGCCATTCATATTGTGGTCCCTATCCTCTTCCAAATCCTTCAAAACTCCCTTTTTTCTTTCTTTCAGTTCCATACCGACAAAGACCCCTTGAAATCATTCATTTTTATTGTTTTCCATCCTCCTCTCTTTTCTTTTCTGTTCCCCAGCGAAAAAAAACCATAACAGTTGTTCACACACACTTCAAAACGACATCATCATTCTTAAGTCAGGTAAAAAAGAGGAAGTGATGAGTTACGCAAAGAATCACTTCATTTGAATAACTTAAAGGAGATTACTGTAGAAAATAAGATACGTAGTATTGTTACGTTAGCCATTTGAAGTGGATTACTGAAATGAGGGGCACATATGGTCCAAGTCAGAAATTCCAGAAAATTCAGAAATTCAGAAATTCCAGGAAATTCAGAAATTCAGAAATTCAGAAATTCAGAAATTCAGAAATTCAGAAATTCAGAAATTCAGAAATTCAGAAATTCAGAAATTCAGAAATTCAGAAATTCAGAAATTCAGAAATTCAGAAATTCAGAAATTCCAAAAAATTCAGAAATTCAGAAATTCAGAAATTCAGAAATTCAGAAATTCAGAAATTCAGAAATTCAGAAATTCAGAAATTCAGAAATTCAGAAATTCAGAAATTCAGAAATTCCAAGAAATTCAGAAATTCAGAAATTGAGAAAATCAGAAATTCAGAAATTCAGAAATTCAGAAATTCCAAGAAATTCAGAAATTCAGAAATTCAGAAATTCAGAA